ATAGCAAAAATTTTTTTTATAGTAACCAAATTTTTTATTTATTGTAGTTTTATTTCTGTTTTTAATTTATGATTATTTGAATTACAGTAGCGTATGACAGTAAATAAATTTTGGAGGGTTTTCCGCACAAAGAAAATAATTCTAATGTAAAATTCTGTCGGTGTACATTTTGGCTTTTAGAAACCATTCGTAGGAATTGAATTATTAAAGAAACAAATACAATGTCGAAACCAAATCTCATTAACATGGCTAGTAGAATAGATTTTGGGTAATTCATACTTTCTTAAGTATCAGTATCCTTACATAGTAAACGGGAGAAATATAATACATGTATACGTATACATGCAAATATAAAATGACATCGTTTCCAAAAACTAAAATTCTAATAGTCATTCACTAACATCTAGTTTTAAATATAGCCGCTAAGTCTGACCATCGCTCGCTGTTACTACTTATAGCAAACTTGTAACAAGTCGACATCAAACTATTGTATAAAATACTAAAGAGACACATGACATGATTCGGAAGTCACGCATGATAGTGATATTAGGAAAATGAAACTCTCTCCATTTTCTTCAACTAAGAAAAGTAGAACATTTCTTTAATGACTTTAGGTAGACGATAGGATTTAAATTACAATGTTCCATTTAGATTTACATTCCAGGATATAAAATTAGCTTCGCAACACAGTTTATACCCGAACCATCTACTAAAACCCACTGTTAGGCATTCCTAAACACATTGACGACGAATCTTCCATTATCTTCGTGCTAATGAATCCTGTGCCAGTGATTCGAACGAAAAATCTAGAAGAACGCGAAACGATTTCGTCCCGAATCCCCGATTCCCAATATTCCTCATCTGAAGGCATAGATCGAACGTGTGACCACCACAGCATCGTTACTCGATATTAATCCTGTTACCATCGGGAACTACTCACTACCATTGTTACTACTAAAACTACTATCATCACTGCTGCTGCTAACACAGTTCCATGTCTATTCGAAAACTAATCCCCCTCCTTCCTTTGTTTCGAATGATGCATAAGTTACTTGGTATGCAGACAAAACATACGTCGGTATCACTTCTACA